GATCAGGCAAAGGCAAAGGCAGAGCCTGAAGAAGCAGGATGAGCTCCCCTCAGGCTGCCTGGGGCTGCTTCCACAGGAGAAGCTCCAACGAGTCCACATATGCTATTCAGGCAGGAGACTTCCATTTTCCATGGAGCTGTGGAATGAGGCAAGACCCCAGTTTATCCCAGTTCACTGCCCTTGATGCCAGGGGGCACAGCTCTTTGCAGCATCAAGCCCATGACCACGAGGAGCAGCTGTTGGGAGTCGGGAGTGACTTTTCCTCCCAAAATGTCAAGGCAGTGTCACTGTGCTGGCCGGAGTAGAGGAGAGGGAGCAGCCGTAGGTCCCTCCTTGGGCAGGGCTGTGTGGACTTTGTGGTTGCTCTCAGCTCCCTGGGAGAAGCCATTTGGGAGCGGTAGTAGGTCCAACTGTGCGGGACGTGCGGATTCCGGGCTGCATGGAGGCTGTTGGAGCTCGGCACCACTAGATGGTGGTGTCTGTACGTGTTCGGCCCAAGCCTTCCACCTTCTGGCCTGCTGAGTGATCATCTCCCACACTGGACAGGGACATTTGCCCCACGGAGGTTTCCAGGGAGTGGGGACACCCTGAAACCCACCCCACTGACACAGCAACACTTAAGGCCAGAATTCTTTTTACTACTACTTTAATTCCTGGAAGCGCTGAAGTGCTCTTTCCTTGGACCCCGTCAACTCCTTTTGTAAACTGTTTTCTGTTAATAAACCCCAAAAATAAGCAAAGCACTTCCAATACAGACAGAAGATGACAAAAGGGGCGTTTTGTCTGATTCACAACTCAGAAAGTGGTTTTCTACGTGTCTAGGGAATTTTCTGAAATGAAACACATCTCCCCATTAATTCTAGGGAAGCAGGTCAATGTTGGAGTGCTGAAGTCCCAACACTCTCAATGGAAATCCATTTTCCAGAACAGAGTCTCCAGGAGGTACTGAAGGACATGACTGTAGATGGTGAGTACATCAGCACTTCAGGATAGTTCAGGATCTGGAGCATCTGCTGGGCAGAAAACTTAAGATTTGGAGAAGAGAAGAAAGAGCTGGAATTAAAAACAAAAAACAAAATGTTGCATTTTCCTTGGCACAAAATCATGGAATAATTTAGGTTGTTGTACTTCAGGCTCCCCTTCCTCAAACACATTTTCTGAGAGAATTGGGATTGTTCAGCCTGGAGAAACAAAGCTTCAGAGTGACCTCATTGTGACCTTGCACTACCTGAAGAAGCTGACAGGAAAGATGGAGAGAGACTTTTTTACAAGGGCCTAGAGTCACAGGACAAGGGAGAATGGCTCCCCACTGCCAGAGGGCAGGGTTAGATAGGATATTGGGAATAAATTCCTCCTTGTGAGGGTGGGGAGGCCCTGGCACAGAGTGCCCAGAACAGCTGTGGCTGCCCCATCCCTGGAAGAGTTCAAGGCCAGGTTGAGCAGGGCTTGGAGTAACCTGGTTGAGTGGAAGATGTCCCTGCCCATTGCAGTGGGTAGAAAGAGATGGTCTTTAAGATCCCTTCAAATCCCAACCATTCCATGACTGTGGTATCTCCCCACTGACTCACTCCACCTTCCCTCACAGTCCCGGGGATGTGGCTGACACCCACAATGTTGATTCCAGCTATCCCCTTGGCCAGCAGGGAGCTGCAGGAAGCCCAGGACACACCACAGGAGGGGACTGGCATTCACCTCCTTGCTCTCTGCTCCTACCTGGCCTCTCCTTCAGCTACCCAGCAACACAAACACAGGGAGGCTGCTGTGTCTCTGCAACTCTCTTTGGGTCACTCTGGCGTGGGACACACCATGCACTGAGCACAGCTTAAATTCTCTCTGTTTCTGCACTCCCCTTCATCTTGGGTTGAATTTTTGCTTTGCATTATATGGCAGAGAGGCCCAGTGTGAACTCGGTGTGTCTCAGCAGTGCCACCCCTCAGCAGGGTATAAGAGAAGGGGCTGTGTCTGTATGCTTGGTGGAGCATTGAAGGAAGTGATGGGTTATGAGTGGCCATGGAAAGGTAATTTAATCTTCTTTGGCCTCAGCATCCAACCCTGCTGGGAGGGAGGGAGTTTCATTGCATTATTGTGGCTACATTTCTTCAGATCCTGAGATGGAAGGAGTGGGTGAAAGGCAAAGGACACACTATTAAAATTATTGTTATTATTAACCTCTTTTTGGCAAGTCTCTCTGTGCTGACTGCCAGCAGGCAGGGCAGTTTTCCAACACTTTCTCGTTACAAAGAGCACAACCATTGAGGACAATTTGGGCTTTGATCTGGTCACAGAGGAGGCTCACTTGACCCCAGAACCATGGGAGGTGTCAGGTCTGGATTCTGTGGATGGAGTCTCTCCAGCTGCCCTTTTGGTGTCACTCCCAAAGACTGAAATCTCCCTGGAGTGCTGGCAACACTCCCTGCTCTGCTCAGTCATTGCCTGGGCACTTCCCTAGGGCACAAGGGTGACATCCAGGACCCCAGCTCCATCCTGGGCTCCACAGCCAGCAGGGCTCACCTGACCAGCCAGGAAAGCTGGAAGCCTTAGGACAGAGGAAGGTAAGGCTAGGTATCTACGGTCTTTTTCCTTGGAGGAAACCTAGAAATCTTTGTAAACCAACAGATTAGTTAAAAGCCTCCTGCATGCCTGTACTGGTGCTTGTCAGATGACAAGGATGTGATGTTAACATGAGGCCATTGGTTCCCTTAAAATATTGCAGGGTTCCCACCCACATGGGATAAACATGGAAGCAAGTCTTTGGTGGTGAGGGACTGATGGCTCCTCCAGCAGGAAAGTCATCCTGCCCTGTCTCAGCAGGGTCTGATGCCTTATTTTTGTACCTCAGGTGCCACAGAGGCATCATGATATGATGGGGATTTCTGTCCCTGGATTTAGTCCAGACTCTCACTTTTTCCCTTTTTCCAGTTTGTTTCAGATGTTCCTGGCTACAAGAGCAGAGGCCACGCTCTTCCCTTAGCAGATGGAACATAGAAAGAGTCAACCTTACCTCTTCTGGCTAATGATAAACTGCAAGGAATTGTCCTCCCTGCCATATACCTAACCAGCAGTGTGAAAAATAGGGATGGATCCCCATGGCATAACTTGTCCAGATCTTCTCAAGGCTGCTGGGATCTCTGCTCCCTTTGAGCTCTGTGAAAGCAGGACAAGGCTCAGTCACAGCTCCAACCACTCTCCTCCTCTTCAGCCCATAGGAAAAATTACTCGGGCAGCTACAATTACCAGAGGAATCCTTCACCTCAAAGTCCTTGGGAAATGGGTGGAGTTGGCAACTCTGCCTCAGGAGAATTGTTTCAGATTATCAGGGGAGTTGCCTCTGTGGGACACAGAGGGAAGTGCCCCTCTCTACTGGGGTACTTCTGCCATATATAACAACATAAACAAAACACAGGGGCCCCAAGATGAGATTTCCAGAAAAGCTTTTTCTCTGGTTGTACATCCAGAAGCATCTGCATGGCTGCCATCTGCTCTGCAAAGGCACTGCTGGAAGTGCCACCAGGGGCATGTCTCACCCCTGTGCAGTTTAAACTCCCCAGGTACCAGGTCCCTCCAAAGCCATGGGTACAGCAGCTGGTGCTGAGTGGGGCTGGGCTGTTTCACAAGCCAGTGTCTCTCACTTTTGTCTTCTGGTTGCCACCCACAGGAGCTCAGAGACAGCACTAGCCAGTGTGGATGGATAGAGACTCCTTCAAGTGTTGCAGAAAGATGCCCCCCAAAATTTGGAAAGTCACCCTGTGCCTCCCTTTGCACGCTATGAACAAAATTACAGAATCACAAAATGGTTTGTAGGGGACTTTAAAGCCCATCCAGTGCCACCCCTGCCATGGCAGGGACACCTTCCACTATCCCAGGCTGCTCCAAGCCCCGTCCAACCTGGCCTTGGGCACTGCCAGGGATCCAGGGGAAGCCCCAGCTTCTTTGGGCACCCTGTGCCAGGGCCTGCCCACCCTCCCAGGGAAGGATTTCTTAAATATCCCATTTAACCCTGCCCCCTGTCAGTGTGAAGCCATTTCCTGTCACTCCAGGCCCTTGTAAATAGTTGTTCTCCATCTTTTTTGGAGACTTCCCTCAGGTACTGGAAAGGGCCACATTCAAGTCACCACAGAGCTTCTCATCTCCAGGCTGAACAATCCCAACTGTCTTAGTCTTTCCTTGTACAAGAGGTGTTCTATCCTTCTGATCATCCTGGTGGCCTCCTCAATTTCTGTCCTTCCTCCTTCATCTTCCCTCCCTCTTCCCAGAAGGCCAAACAAATAAATATCTAAAAGGGTGCCAAGAAGATGGAGCTGGACTCTGCTCAGAGGTGCTGAGCAATAGAACGAGAGGCAACAGGCACAAACTGATGCCCAGGAAGTTCCACCCGAACATGCAAAAGAACTTCATCATTGTGCAGTGACCAACACTGGATGAGATTGTCCAGAGGTGTCAAGCTTTCATTGTTGGAGATATTCCAGAACTGTCTGGAGGCAGTCCTGGGCAATCCATTCAAATCCTTTGAATTTGAACCCATTACACCTCGTTGTAAGAGGACAAGGGGGAATGGGTTAAATTTGAAAGAGCAGGATTTGCTGGGATGTTGGGAGGAAATTCCTCCCTGTGAGGGTGGGCAGGCCCTGGCACAGGGTGCCCAAAGTAGCTGTGGCTGCCCCTGGATACCTGAAAGTGTCCAAGGCCAGGCTGGACAGAACCTGGAGCACCCGGGGACAGTGGAAGGTGTCCCTGCCATGGCAGAGGTGGCACTGGGTGGTCTCTAAGGTCCCTTCCTACCCAAACCATTCTGGGATTCTGTGGCATGTACTCTGGAATGACCCCACTGGAGCAGCAAGGCTGGAGCAGAAGAAGCCCTGTGGTGCCCTGTCCCGTTCAGGCACTCCCGGGAACGCGATAAATGGAGTTAAACTCCCCAGAGCCATTGGCGGGCCCTCCCCCCTCACGGCACCGCCTCACCTGACCGCCCCCCTCCACGTGACCGCCACCCGCAGTCCTCCTTCGGGTCGGACCGCGTGGGGCCGCTTCCGCTTCCGGCGCTGCCCGGCCCGTCATGGCGGCGCCCTGCGAGCCCGGGGAGCGGCGGCCTTTCGGGAGGCGGCTCCTCACTGACCCCTCCCGGCTTTTCCAGCACAACGCCTGGTGCGTGAGCGCTGCCGCCGCTGCCCGCTCTAGACCCCCGTGAGCCGCCCGGGGTTCTGCTGCCCTGCGGTGCCGCCCGGCGGTGGGGTGGGGGTGGCCGGGGCGGGCTCGCCGCCGCCGCCTCTCCGATTTGCGGTGTCTGTGGCCAGGCGCTGTGTAATGGGCCAGTCCCGACGTGCCCGCTCCGCCTCACGGGGCCCTGACCGCGGTGACCGCCCTCTGCTCCGGGCGCGCCTCGAGAGACACCCTGAGGGCGTGGAGCAAGCCGGGGGAGCGGTGGGTGTGGGGCTGGCGGCCGCACAGCGACTGCGGGCCGGGCGGGGACCGGCATCCCCGAGCAGGGCACTGCCCTGTGTGCCCGGTGCTGGTCCGGAGTGCTGCTCTCCGGGGGTCCTGAGCACTTGGAACTGCTCCCTGCGGGGTTCTGGGCCTCGGGGACTGATTCTCTGGGGGCTCCTGAACCTTTGGGATTGATCCCTGGAGTGTCCTGAATCTTCAGGACTGATCAGCAGAGAGTTCTGAGTCATTCTCAACCCCTCCTGAAGCAGTAGCATTCCTCAGGCTCCTGTGGTTGTAGCAATTGTTTTATTGCTGTGGTTAATAAAGGTAAATTACCTTCTGTCGGAATATCCATAACCTGACATTCCTTCAGTAAGGTTGTGCCAAGTGTGTGCTTGGAACAGGAGCTCTTTATGTACATGCAGAAGTTGTTTTAAGTTAGTTAAACATGCAAATTCTCTAATTTGCTGGGAAGTGAAGGTATTTTGCATTTTTGGGGTAAATAGATCCACTTTTGGTCTCTGACTGCTATACCATGTTAAGAATTGAGTGTGTTTAATTTGTAATTAAGTAATATTTATATGTGTCAGCCTGTCATTCCTTCTGGGACTGTTCTATACAAAAGGTATGTTACAAAAGCATATCCTTAGAATTTCCTGTAGAAATTCTCAGTAATCTGTTTTTTCACAGACTTAATATTTAAGCCTTTGTTTTGTGAGTTAAAATCAGAAGACTGATTCCTTGTGAGACAAGAACTGCTTCTTGAGCCTTGTACTCTGCTTTTCATTGACTTGTTTTAATGAAAAAAGGCCAAGTGAATCACTTTAATGACTGCATAGCTTTGTATGTGCATTGAAGTTATTAATAATTCTTAATTCTTTAAAGCTTCCCCTAATTTTCTCATCATTTGATTTCATTTAACAGTTACCTTCCCAAATAACCCAGCTGCCTTTTCTGCTTTAACTTGAGAAAGACGATGTGGTTTTGTGCTGAGTGCTCTCATGGTTTTAGCAAGGATCTATTCTCTTTAAATTTGAGTGAGCATCCAAAATGGGACAGATTTAGGATCCCTCCTGTTTGCAATTCCACGAGTTCCTTCAGGACTAGGACCTGCACATGCTGACTGGGCTGTTGTGCTGGTGCTGGGCTGGAATTGGGGATCACATCTGCACCCCTGTCCATTTGGAGGGCTCTCCAGACCTTTCTCTTTCCTACCATGCTTAGCTCTAGTTCATCTTATTTTTCACAACAGGGATAATGTGGAATGGTCAGAAGAGCAGGAAGCCAGTGCCAGGAGTAAAGTTCAAGAAAACAGCTCACAACTATTGCCACAAGACAAACAAGGTACTTTTGGAGAGTGTCCTCATGTGAGTCAGCTCATGTGTGCCAGGAATGGAACAGTCTGGCCAGAGCCACATCACAACATCATCAATTCCTCTCTTCCCCATCTCCCAGTCACTCAGAAGGCATTAACACTGCTGTGATAATGGGAAATTGAGGAGGAGGAACCTTTCTGGTCTTAATTTATCTCCCTGTGACTCTTCCACCTTCACTAGAGACTCCTGCTGGTTGGGAGGAGTCAGATTGGGTTGTGCTTCTCTGTCATGATGTGTGTGTTAAATACTTGTTAGTGTTCATTGTCAACAAACCTCTCTGAGTGTAGAGTTGTTGCCTCTACTTATTTTTGCTCTTTAAAGCTTAACTGCTAGTATGCAGTTTTTGCTGACTTGCTGTGGAGTGAGCCCTGATCCAAGCTGATTTTCTCTTTAAAGGGTCTGAGAATGTAGTGTCCATATCTCTACAAAGAGATATCCATATCTCTACAAAGCAAACAAACCACATGAGAACAATTTAATCAGAGAAAGAAAAATTATTTTATCTTGATTGTTTATCCTCAGATAGCAAAGGGATTCCAAAGTTTGAATTTTGTATGATTTAAAGGATATTTATCACTCCAAAATGCAGAGCTTACTTGTCTCTGAATCAAGCTCGAGGTGCTCAGGTCTTTGGTTAAGTAATGGTTGAAGCCATTCATAGTTAATAATGCATTTTCTCCACACCTGGTAGAGATCATCTAGTCCCTCAAATGTTGGTGAAATAGTTCTTTGGTGTGATAAGAAACTTATCTGATGATGATCTTGTTATACCCTGCTGAGCTCTAGGGTGTATCTGCTCCTTTTGTGCAAATTAAATCGAGTGTGTCACCGGTCAGATGATGCTGAGCACTACTGGAACTATTGAGACACTTCCATATAGCTTCCAGTTGTGTTCACAATAGCAAATTTAATTCACCAAAGAGTAACCCTCCTAATTTCTTGGACTCCTAGAGGTATCCAGCAGTTTTCCATTGTGATGCCCATTGTGTTGAGCTCATTTTAAAATCTGGTTAGCATTAAAGGGTGCTGTCTGTCATGCTTTGAGAACCTATATACAACTAGGAAATTGTGGAGCAATTTGCTGTTGGAACCGTTTGTCAGAACTCCATGATGTATTTCCCAGAGTGAACAATGGAGGCCAGTCAAATGTTGATGGTTGCTATTCACTGGGAAGCATGTGGAGACAATGGGATGGCTGGAAAGCAGGGAAAGCAGCCCAGGCAAATGTGCCTGAAGGGTCTGGTAGTTTGAGAATCAGGATGTCCAAGGAGGAGAACAAAGGCAGAATATTGGTCATTATGACTGTATTATTCTGTGGATTACTTGGAGATGTCAGGATTTGTTCTGAAGAAGGAGGGAAGCTCTGTGGCTATGTGGAACATGTGTCTCCTGGCTGGGAAAAGAAAGAGAAAGAAATCCAAGTTTCTTGGTTTCCTTTCGAGGCTCCATGGTTAGCCCCCTTGCAATTCAGGAGGTCCTTGGTTCTCTTCTGGTCTTTTTGAACAGTTACTTTTGTTTGCTCTTCTTTTGCACAGTGAAGGGGTGAGCATGGGCTTGGCTTTGGGGGTATGCTCTTACAAAGGTGAGCAGGAAGTCAGGAGTCCTTATCAGGGAAGTCTCTGGAGGAATCTGGCTTGCACACTGATGGCACTGTGAACTAATACTCCAAAAAGGGCCTGAAATAAGTGTGATGTGAACTTTTCTGGCAGGAAGCCACAGTCATATGTTTGCTTAAATCTGTTTCTTGTATGATCTTTGTCAGCTGGCCCTTAATTTTTTGTATTTACATTGATACTGATCATTTATTCAGGGCTTTGAAAACAGCAGGCTCCAAGGTAAATGAACTTTAAATAAAGCTTCCCCACATGTAGTTTGGAGTATGACAGCTCTTCAATAGCATCCAACAGAATTTCAAGCTAATGTAACAAAGGAAGAGTACAATGTCTTCTTCACCAGTGTAATGTGGCAAAAATATGGGCAATCCAAAATGGCTGGGCTGGAATTTTGTCCCTGTGTCTCAGGTGAGCATTCCACAGCAGTCAGGCTGTCATGGAATTGTTGGAGATGAGCAGGAATCAGGATCTGTATTTTTGTTAGGTGAAAGAGAGTTTCAGCCTCAGAAGCCTTGCATATTCCTGCTGGTACATGGGAGAAAGAAAGTTTAGGGTAGAGTGTGCAAGGGTTTGGGTCAACAGTGCTTCTTTCAGCATCAGCAGTCACTGACTCCTTCCATGCAAACAGTGAACTGACCTGGCCCTGTTCACTGTGACCTACAGTGAGATCATGGTGCAAACTTACTGCTTGTGTCTAATACCAGACATTAAAGTTTCCTTCATCTTTGTGTGTAAGAACCAGGCTTCTTAAAAGGAGAAAATCCTTGTAGTTGAGGTAAAGAGATTATTTTTTATATAGCTCTTTGTGCTGCAGGGATATATCCTACTAAGAATAGACATATGACTGATTAAGTGCTTCTTTGTTAAAGCCATTTTTGTCTATATTTGGCTGAGGCTACATATTTTTCCAGGTGTTCTGAGTTCACTTTACAATCTCACTTTGAAACAGTTTTATGTTCTTCAGGAAGACAAATAAACAGCAGTTCAGCTAATAACACCCTACAGTCATTTTTATTCAGTAATGCATTTGTTGCCATCCAAAGATGGTTGAGGAGTTACTTATTATTGGCATGCAATTGGGATTTCTGGCCATGGATGTTAATGTCTGTAGGTGATTTCAAGCACAGGATGCTATAATTAGGTTAGTTCCCAGAACAAAGAACTCATCCCATTGATGAAGTCATAGAAAGTCACTTGGATTTGTAGCTTCCCATGGAAGAAATAGTTCCCCCAGACTGTACTTGATCTGAAATCTGTGAAAGTGTGTGGAAATAAGTTTGTAGGTGACTCAAATTTCACTTGATCATGGCTTTGTAAGAGCTTTTCCAGCTCCCTGTAATCACCTCTTGCTCCTGAAGTGAACCATTTGATGTGAAAGTGCTGCTGCTCAAATTAATTCTGTTCATCTTTAGCCTGTCCACCTTAGTTCTCCACTGCTACTTTAATGCAGTGGTCACTGTTGATTCCCCTCTTTTGTTTTAGTTCATAAATGTGTGATGCTCTGACATGCACAGAACTATGGAAAGTAAAGTTATCTGGACTGGACTCCAGCAAAATGTGGAAAACATGCTGTCCTGTTACCTGCAGGATTGCATAAATTCTAACTGAGCTTCCTGCCAGGCAGGGAGAGTTGACTCTTTTGATTTTTTGTTGATTTTTTGGTTTCTCCACCTGAAAATAAGAGCAGGGTGTTGGACAGGAGCTTTCAGCTCCAGACAGCTCTCAGAAAATTCCTTAGGAGTTGTGCTTTACACTTAATGTCACCAGGCTCCAAATTAATTGTTCCAGTGAGCTGAACAAGTCAGTGTTAGAGATGGAAGTAAAACCTGGATTTCTTTAATCCAATCTCCTTCAAAGAGCCTTTTTCTGTTGCCAGCTTCCTTTAAATCCTACCAGGAGACAGAGTTTCCTCTTCTCTCTTTTCCCTTTTTAAGTCTTAACAAAGTGACTGTGAGGACATAGGCTGAGTGTTTGTGTAGGATTGCAAATTTAAATAAAGGATTTTCAGTCAATAATGTCACTTATTACAGCAGGTTGGTGCATAGGTACCTGCAGTGATCCCTCACTCTCTGAACTGATTAAACCCTGAGACCTTCTGATTTGATGCCTGGTGATGTTTTTGCTTGTGTTCACAGAGGAATATGAGGTAAATGCTAAGAAATACTGGGATGACTTCTATAAAATCCACGAAAATGGCTTCTTCAAGGACAGGCACTGGCTGTTCACTGAATTTCCTGAGCTGGCACCTCACAGGAACTCAAGCCAAAATGGAGATTCTGTGCATGGATTTAGTAACAAAGAAGAATCCAAAAAGGAAGGGCTGGGAAGCTGTGAAATTTGCCATTGCTCGTTGGAAACCAGGACAGAGAGACAGTTAAACCTGATAAAAAGCCCACCTGGAGGCCACACGGAGGAGTTGGCTGCACAGAAAAGCAGTGATGGGCATTACCCAGGAGCAGCTGCATCTTACCGGATATTAGAGGTAAGAGCTGGAAATCAGTCACACATCAAAGCCTCTCTTGTGTCAGTGTGACTGGGGCATAAAAATGTGTGTCACTGTCAAACAGCAAGGGAGGGAATGATTGCCTTCAGTCAGTAAAATGCAAAAATTGGAGGGTAGTTTAGAACTGAACTAAATCTCTTGGGATTCTTTTGGTTCAGAATTAGCAGAGCACAAGAACCATAAGAAGTTTACAAGTTTAAAAGCCAAACTGTTGCTATCAGATGTTCAAACAAGTGTTTTAAGGTCATCTTTTGAAGAAGCTGATTCTTCTACTCTGTATAAAGCTTTCCCTTCTGTCCTGATTCAGGGCAAATCTGGGAGGAAACTTACAAAGCGGTTTCTCTGGAAAGCAGATTCAAGTGGCCCCTCCCACAACTGGTTCAGGAAAATATTTCCCAGGAGAAAAGTGGAAAAAAGCTGTTTATTTAACAAGCAAAGTATTCACAGGCATAAAAATTAATAATACTGAATGATAAAACCTCTCACTGTTCTGAAGAGATGGCACCTTCAGAAAACCCCTGTCGTGGTGTGTAGCTTGGCTCACTCAGTCTGTTATCAGTCCCTCCGTGCTGGAATGCTGCATCCTGGGCCCTGGTGGGCCACAGATGTGTGCTCCCAGTGTTCTGGGGTTTTAGCCCAGAGCAGGGTCGATCAGTTCCAAGGAAAAGATAAACCACAGTCCGGGGAACTTCGCTAGCTCAGCTAGCTAATAACTAAAAGTAAAGGAGAGTTCTCTCCCACTGCCTGTCTTGCAGACAACACAATCCATGAGAAGGAACACAGAGCAGAAGGAGCAAGTACAGTTTCTGCAAACAAACTGCACACTTCTTCTCTCCTCCTTCGCTCTTGGAACCAGTCTTAAAGATGCAGAACTTAACATCCAGCATAAACAGAACTGACAAGCAGGGATGCAAGCATCATCTAGTCACCCTAGGACACCTTGTCATTGTCTTCTGCATGTTTGTGTTGACTCCTGTTTGCCTTGGGAGATGTGAAACAAAGCATTGAAGCCAAGAATGTAAAGATGCTCTTGGGTTTGTTCCTTAGGGCCCTTGTGATAACAGGGAATCCCAAACTGATACAGGCTTTGTCCCAGAGAAGTTTGTGGCAATTTTAAGTATTGGACGGCTCACAGCTGGTTGTGACCTTTTTGCTCTGTCACCTCTAGTTGTTCACTGTAGATATTACTGGATTTGTTTATTACTTAGCATTATATGAAAGTCCTGCCCTTCCAGGGAGAGTTAGTATGAACTGTCCTGAATTTTTAAATTTAATTTGACACTTTTACGATTTCCTCAGACTACAGTGTTCTCAACGTGCATCTCCTATCTCACCTGAGTGAGCTCTTTAACTTGCAGCTGTCACTGCAAATCCTCTGTGGTGTTTTCTGCTCAGTCTGTTTCAATTTTACTGATTCTTTAAACATTCAGAGGCAGATTCCCTAAACCCAGTTGTGTGAGCCATCATCTCTTCAAATGGGAACAAGCAGAAGGAGTAATTAGAGTAAAGCAAACCTAACTTCTCCATTGCTCTGATTTTCTATGGAAGTGAATGTAACTCATCCATGGCCTTTGCCCGTGCTTCAGTGACTCATTCAGGTTGTTATGCTTGGGATTCCAGCGAAAACAGCTTTCAAAAGAGTAACAATGTATAGCTTGTTACTAAGGTTTTGACAAGAGCTTGCTTAGTGGTTTCCCACACATGTAATCCTGTTCCTCAGACCTTAACAGGCTCAGATCTTGCATGGACACTTCAGAATAGTCACTGCCATTCTCAGCTTTACTAATGTGTAGTTCTTCGTTACATGGCTGTAGAGAGATGATTGAAAATTATCTGCATGTACATGCTGAAGGAATGATTTTCACTGTATGCATCTGCTCTGTTTATGCAGGTTGGCTGTGGGGCTGGGAATACAGTCTTCCCAATTTTACAAACCAACAAGTAAGTAGAGACAAGACAAGAGGAAATGGCTTCCCACTGCCAGAGGGCAGAGATAAATGGGATATTGGGAAGGAATTGTTCCCTTTGAGGGTGGGGAGGCCCTGGCATGGGTTGTCCAGAAAAGCTGTGGCTTCCACATTCCTAGAAGTGTCCAAGGCCAGGTTGGACAGGGCTTGGAACACCTTGGTCTAGTGGAAGGTGTCTCTGCCCATAGCAGGGGTGGGACTGGATGATCTTTAACATTCCTCCAAGCCCACACCATTCTGGGATTCTGTGAAGTAATTGTCAGTAGGCTTTTACCTGCATGAGACACCAGCCTCTGAAAAACAATTGGAAAAATGTTCCATGACAAGCTCAGAGAAAAGCCAAATGCTAATGGTATCTTTGCCATCTGCAGCTTCAGGTTATTGTGTTTTGAGCTTGGAAGCCCTTGGTTTTAGCTTTAAAATAAAAAGGAAGCAGTCAGTTCCATATGAAAAGAATGGACATAAAGGAGCAATGGAATCCATCAGATTTTGCACAAAAACTGAAGCCTAGGATTTCTGGGCTTTGTGCATTTGAAACACTCCTTAATTCCTCAACATAAATGATGAGTTTCTTTGATTTATTGCAGTGACCCAGGCTTGTTCGTTTATTGCTGTGATTTTTCTACAGCAGCTGTGGATCTTGTCCAGGTAATCTCAGGGGTGACTTACGAAGATGTGGGAAGTATCTGGGGCCAATTGCCCATTTACACAAATCTATACCAGCTGCCAGTGACTCTCTGGCTGTGCTGGCAGCTTTCTGGTTTTAGCCAGCCCTGGTGCTGACCCTTGCACTGGGAAATCTGGAAAGTGAGCCATCAAAGATAGTGGAAATTAGGGAAGTAAAAGTTCTCAAAATGTCACATTGGCAGCCAACAAGTCAGACAGATTTTCTTCCCCTGTGGTTGGCAGTACTTTTCTCAATGCAGTGTTCTTTTAGCTGAGTAACTTGAAAAAAACTCAAACCTTGAAAACATTCAGGCTGTTTTTTAACAGGAACTTAAGCTGGTTTTGGTTTATTTGTGTCACTGTCACCACAGTTCTGGGAACATGGTCTGATTTCTTCTGTACAAGCACCTGAGGAGGGATCATGTTTGTGGTGCAAGAGGTTGGAGTTTGGTCAAAGGACAAATACCACTGATAAATTTCTGGTCAAGGCAGTACTGAGAATATATGAAGTATCAAATGCAATCCTGAGATGACAGGGGAGCATAGCACCACAGTCAGCATCCATTTCATCTTCTGTATGTGACACAAGCACTGTTTGTAGAGGCTTCTGCAATCTGTAGCAGCAACTAAATCTGATTTTTTAAGGCTGTAACTGTAGTCAATCAAGTTTTATTTTTGGGGTATAGCGAATATCTGTTTGTAGATTAAATGAATATTGATTTCAGTGATGCAGAGAGGTGCCCTGATACTCTCACTTATGTAAAGGTTTCCAATTTATCAGTATAAATCTCTCATTTCTTACCACTGTTAGTGGAAATTCTGACCTTAAAATTGTGATCAACCCTGGTCCAGTTTTATGGGGTTTTTTGATTGACTGTAACAAGACCAAAGCTCTTTGTAAATCTCCTGTGTGTAAATATTTTTTCACACTTCACACCTGTTCCTTGCCTGACCAAGGAATATACCTGACACAAAAGTCCAGTGAGACTGCAACAGATCTCTGGACAGACCTCTTGATAATGTGAAATTTAAAATACTCCATATAATACTAATAATCCATATAGTCCAGCTAATACTGAGATCAGGGTCTGCTACTAATATTCTTAATTTCTCTCCCTCAAATACAGAACAATGCAGAATATGATTCTTCTCGCTGCTTTGCATTTGTCCATGACCTGTGCAATGACCAAAGTCCTTTCCCAATGCCAGAGGAGAGTCTTGACATTGTTATTCTTATCTTTGTCCTCTCAGCAATTCTCCCAGAGAAGTAAGTTTTAATAATTCCTTCTGATTGCAGAAGATAATCCTTCTATGACTGGAGTTCTTTAATAATCTCCTATCAAGGAAAATTAAAGTTTGTTCTGTTTGTGGTCCAGTTTTCCACAAAGCCTCAGCCAACAAAATTTGCAGGTATTTGCTGTTGTAACCAATTCTGACAGAGGACAGGGTGATCGTTGCTCGGATCACTGTTCTGAGCCCCAGCCACACTGAGCACTCACTTTGGAAAGTATTCTGCTGGATTTTCAGGCTCATGGGGTAGATTAATTTCTAACATGGGAGGCAGCAAGAAAGAAGGGTTCAGGTTCAGGAAAAATGTAAAGAAAGCGCTGTAGTCTTAGTGTGATAATTGTTGCAACCTACACTAGTCTCTTTTTTGGTTCCCTTTAGTTTTACTTCACAACACTTCTCTTCAAGTTTGCTTACTACTTGTTTTGCAGAAACTAGTGAAGATCCTTTTGTAATCAGTAAGAGAGAGCAGTTAATCCCTGCTGTGGCAGGATGTTATCCATGTAGGAAAAAAGCATAATCGGACAATGTCAAAAAATAGAGGCCAAATAAAATGAACCCACCTGACTCTGGGAGAGCTCAGAATTGAGCTTTGGGTAGCTCTTTACATGAAGTTGAAATGTAAAGAACTTTATTCCGTCTTTTTGGAAGGAAAGAAACACAGTTTTGCAGCTTGTTGAGTGCTCCTGGTTTGTTCTTCTCTCAGAATGCAGTGCATTGTGACCAGACTGAGTCGCCTTCTGAAACCAGGAGGAATGATCTTGTTGCGAGATTATGGCCGTTATGATCTTGCCCAGCTTCGGTTCAAGAAAGGTATTTCCTTTCCCCTGGGAATTCTTGCCCCGTCACTAGTAGATTCTGCTTCTCTGAAAGCTGTGTCTGCCCTGTTTGGAGGCAGCTCATTAACTCTGCAAAGCACAGTGTGTGCTGGAGAAGGGCCTATTGTTGGATGGCAGTTGTTGATTTTTAAGTGATCACTGGTAACTGTGTGTTTATATCTGTCTTCTCTTAGGTCAATGTCTGTCTGATAACTTCTATGTAAGAGGTGATGGCACCAGAGTCTACTTCTTTACACAAGGTAGGAGGCCAGAAACATCCTTCTTACTCTCTTCACCACTTCTTGTCCCTGTGCCCTCCTGATTGGCCGCTAGATCTTTTCAGCCTCTTTCTTGGAGCACTGTGAAATGTTAAGTATCTCCCAATTAAACAGTGGCCTGGGCTTCTCAGCTTCTGGTGCAAGCATGACATGGTCAATTTCCTTAGTGGAAAATCCTTTAAGAGGAAGACTGGTGTGTGTGCTACCCTGGGAGGGGTGGGATTGGAGGAGCTCTCCTTGTATATTGGCTGCAGATGATGGAGAGAGATGGACACCACTTAGCAGGCCTTCCCTTAATTTTCCTGCTCTCCTGTGAGGAAATCAGAAGGGTGTGGTTCAGCATGGAGCTGAGGCAGCCCCTCCAGTTCAGCTGCTGCTTGGTGTTAGCAGCAGTTGTTATTCTCCTGTTTATCACCAGCTGCACCTCCAGTCCCTCCACTACAGGCCTCTGAGCCCAGTCAGTTCTAGAGCATTGGCACAACTGAACTGTTCCCCTCTGCACAACTCGTGTTTGGCACAACAAAATGAATGTTTAATGCATGTTTGGTGAATACTTCACAATGGAAAGCATCTGATAAAGAAGCACAAGCTGAAACCTGTCAAACTTTTCCTACAGAAACTCCAGACAAACCACGTGCTCTGGGAGTAAGCTCTGCTGCTCAGCAGGACTGGGGCACTGAGACTTACTTGTTTGGTCAGGATTATCTGCCAGTGGAATTGTTGAGGCCTCAGGGGCTCTTAGTGCTTTAATTGGGCCCCAACAGGGTGTGGGGGATTTTTTTTTTCCCAAATTTAACCTTAATGAATCCCATTCCCCTCCAGCCTAGGCAGCACAGATCTAACTGCCACTATTTAAAAGCATAGGTCTGATCCTGTTCTTTGGTCTTGTGGACTCTGAAATTCCTCTGGGCAAGGGGGAAGTAATAGCTCTGTCCCAGCTTGCCAGAAGATGCTCCTTAATTACTTACTACAAGCAGTATGCTTATTTGAAATTGCTGCCGATTCCTTTGTCAAGTCTGTAGTTCTAGATGTACTCCAAACAATTCTTTCCTTCTTTGCTAGAAGGAAAACTTGAAAAACTGTGATGTTAAACTCCCCTAGTAAAGTACTTATCTTGTTTGATACCTGTGAGCAGGTATCAGTTAAAGAAAAGCTATGGTCTCCTCAGTTTCCTTCTCTTTGCTTCCAGATGAGTTAGATCATCTGTTCACCACAGCTGGGCTGGAAAAAGTCCAGAATCTGATTGATCGGCGATTGCAAGTGAACCGTGGGAAGCAGATGACGATGTATCGGGTGTGGATCCAGTGCAAGTACTGCAAACCCAGCACCCTTCAGCCATGAGGCATGTGGACTGTGGGCTGGAGCCTCTTCATCTCCTCCTTGGTGACATGTGTGTGATGCCATTCTGCACACCCATGACCTCAGTGCCTTGTACCATGCCTGGCATCACTTCAAGTGAGTTTTGCTAAGGATCAATGCCCTGAGAGTAGAGCAAGCATTTTAGATGTCATAGAATCACAGAATATACTGAGTTGGGAAGGACCTGTGAAGATCAAGTCCAACTCCTGGCCCTGCACAAGACACCCCAACAATTCCACCCTGTGCCTGAGCACATTGTCCAAACACTCCTTGAGTTCTGGAAACTTTGGGCGGTGACCCATTCCCTGAGGAACCAGTTCAGTGCCCAGCCACCCTTTCTGGGAAGAACCTTTTCCTGATATCCAGCCTAATCCTCCCTGGACACAGCTGTACCATTTTCTCAAGTCCTATCCCTGGTCAGGAGAGTGAAGAGATTGGTTCCTGCCCCTCTGCTATCCCTCAGGAGAATGTTGAAGATCCCAGTGAGGTCTGACCTCAGTCTCCTCCAGCTGAATAGACCAAGTGCCCTCAGCCAGTCCTCATATGGCTTCCCCTCAAGGCCCTTCACCATTCTCATGGCCCTTCTTTGGATGGTCTCTCATGGCCTAATGTCTTCTTTATATTGTGGTGCTCAAAACTGCCCCCAGCACTGGAGGTGGGGCTGCCCCAAAGCAGAGTAGGACAATCCCCTGCCTGACCAGGAATGCTTTACCTAATGCCCCAGGACACAGATGTCCTTCCTGGTGCCAGGACGCTGCTGACTCATGTTCAACTTGCCATGGACCAAGACTCCCAAGTCCCTTCCTCAGCCGCTCTCAGCCTCATTCCCCAGTCCACCCACACATCGAGGCTTGCCCCTTCCCACATGCAGCATCCAGCACTTCCCCTGTTGAACTTCCCACAATTGGTGATGCCCATTTCTCTGATTTGTCAAGGTTTCTCTGGAGGCCCTCTCTGCCCCTGAGAGACTTGACAGCTCCTCCCAGTTCAGTGCAGACAGCAAACTTCCTAAGTATTCCTTCAAGTCCTGCATCCAGGTCATTAATGTGGATGTTGAAGAGCACAGGCTTGAGAAGATGCCCTTTAAGTGTCATGCTACTGGTCTGCGTTTTAAAAATTATTTATGGTTTTATTCTAAGAGATGGTCATGGTGTCTTACAGCAGCTGAGCAAGTTGAGTAGCTACTTGCTCATACTCTGGATTTCCATATGAAACAGGAGAGCTCTGACCTTATCTCTGTCTTGTGTACTCTTGTGTTGGCAACAAGCATACAAAGGATAAACCTGCTCTTCTCTGCAACTGCTCACTGATATGAATCCCTTGGCCAGCTTATCTTGTGCAGCTATTTCCTAGTCATTCAGGTGTGTGCCAATCCATGAGTTAAAATACATTGATCTGAAGGCAGGAACTGAGACTATGTGAGTCTCTCTGTACCAGCTTTCCCTAGATGATTCAAGGTGTGGAGAAAGCAAATGATGCTGTTCTGCCCTCATTGTCCACAAGAATGTCCTCCCAGGGAATCAGCAAATAATAGCTCAGATGCTATAAATTACTCTCAGGCAGGGTTCAGGTTTTCAGAAGTTTGCTGCTGATGCCGATTTTAGGGCACCTTCAGAGTGCAGCAGATCAGAAGCAGCTAACAGGACCAGGGTTTATAAATAATTACCTGCTTTTCCTACTGGCTGCAGCTCACAGGTCACAAACTACCCTGCCTTGGTGATGTGCTAAACCAAAACACATGAGACACTTTCTTTAATCTGAAATCTCCAGGAGGTTTAATTTTTGCACTCTTGTTTAATTTCTTAAGAGGATGCCAACACTGTGGCTTGCAGAAGGGATTTCCCTGTCTTTGACAGCAAAAGCCTTTTAGCTCAGCTTGTTTTCTTCTGTTATTTTTAGAGTGTGGTACGACAGATATTAGAATAAGTTTCATGCTTTTCAGTGTTGGTTTGATTAATGTAAATCGTGCTTGCAAAGACTGTAGCAGTGGGGAACAAAGTGACATGGACCCCCTTATGCATCCAAAGGAGATTGCTTTATGGTAGAAATCGCCCTTTTTTATACCTTTAATCTCCACCTGACATAACTGAAACCAAACCCAGGCCTAACAGAACTTAACAGAAAGAGGGCACCCATTGGCTGGCTCAGAGGCAGCGCTGCTGTCCGCACATCCTATCACCCAATCAGCTTCCTGCGCATACACTAACCACATGTTCCTTCAGCCAATCAGCTTCCCACTCACACACTGTCCGTGTGTTCCTCCAGCCAATCACAACCTCACTCCCAGCTTGTGTCTCTCCTCACCCATTACTGCCTCTCAGCTCTCAACCAACTGCCACCATCCGGCCTGCAGCTGTGCCTTTCCCACAGGGCCTTCTGGTGAGCATAACCTGAGCAACTTTAACAATTATACCCCCGTATCCCTCATCTCCCTGCCTGTTTTCTTTTTTTTTATTAGCCAACAAAAACCTACAAGAAAAAACCTAAACAACTCCTAAAACATTAATAACAGTGACAACAATAATAACTATAAAAACTTTTCAAAAACTGTAACATGCTTATAACATAGCAACTATATGCACATGGAATCAGAATGGTGCACCAAAAGGTCGCACACGCCGTAATGGAATCCACTCTATGTGGTGGCCTGTGGAGACAGAGGCTTAACCTCTTCCCCATGTCATTTAGTCCAGGGGTCCTTTCCATTGTCCAGTTAATTTACCATTAAATTTTATTTTACCAAAGTCCTTTACCATTACTGGAGATCTTAGATGAGTCTTAGTGTTGAAGGAATACTGTCTCTCACAAGCAGTTTGTCCCGTCTCATCCCAATTTAAAAAAATTCAGGACATATAAGGCTTTAGCTAGTCTGCCATGAGGACACCCCAACTCCCCGTCTTTTTGGTTTTCAAGCATGGTTTTTAGGGTTCTATGGACTTGCCCTGTGGGAGAGTGGGGAATGCCCCTATGGTGAAACACACCCCATTGCTGCAAGAAGTTAGCAGCTCACTCTGAGGTCTAGGCCGGTGCGCTCATGGTGTCGGGAAGGCCAAGAGTGGTGAAACAGGTGCGCCAGTGCCCGATGGTGTCACAGGCCTTCTCTCTGCTATGAGAAGTTCCATTAGGAAATGAGAATAAGTGTCAATAGAAGCATGAACATATCCCAGATAACCAAACTCTGGGATATGGGTAATACCAATTTGCCAAATGGAGTTAGCTGTTAAACCTTGGGTGTTAGTACCTTCTGCTAAAGGAGCAAGAGCAATCCCACAACAGGAGGGACAAGACAACAGGATATCACGAGCCTGTGAGGAGGTCAATTGAAATTGTTGGCAAAGAGAACGAGCATTCTGGTGGAAAAAGCCATGAGACAACTTGGCCTGAACAAAAGTATTTGGTACCACACCGGTCATCACAGTAATATCTGCATAGTTACTACCTTCTGCAATAGGCCCAGGTAAACCTGTGTGGGAGTAAACACATAACACATAAAAATCATGTTGCTGGCTGATAATCAAAGTCCACAGTAAACAAAAGATGGTTATTAACATGCATTAAATAGGAAGATTCTAAACGGAATGCAACATTGGCAGCATATGAGGAATCAGTTGTGATGTTAAGTGGTTCCTGTGGAAATAACTGAAAGTGATATCGGATAGCAGTCAATTCTAAAATTTATATGGAAGCATCTTTTAACATTAATACCCTTTTATGCCACTGAGCAGAGTCACCTCCACACCAAATCACTGGAGTTTTGTTGGTTTTGCTGGATGTGTCTGTAAAAACAGTTGGTCCATTGACAGGGGGTCATGCTGCAGCGACTCTTTGCATACAAGGGGAGGTTACCTATCTCCATCCATAAACAATGGGATAATGGATAGATAATTGTCCAGAAAAATATGCAGGTACAATTTGAAAGTTAGTGTCTTCTGATAGTAACCATGCAAAATTTCTTGCCGTGTCTTTGCTTGCAGGTTATGTAAATGGTATGTGGATCTAGCTTGGCTGTTGAGAGTTTGTAGTCGCTCTTTGCTTTTCTTAATTGAATTAGAAGACATATCATTAACAGTTCACAGAGTCTTTGTTGTGTGAGGTAAGCATAACTATTCTAACACGTTTAAAGGGTCTTTATCATTAACAAACCATCAAAACAGAGCAAAAGGTTGAAATTTGCTAGCAGTTATAACGAGGTACACAGATTAATCAGGATCCCATCTCCAACTTTGTCGGTTTTCTAGTGCTCGAGCACAGTGTGCAAAGGCAGTTTTAGCTTCTGGGGTCAGTTGTCGTAGCAAATGTGGGTAGGGGTTTCCTCTGAGTAAGTCAAATAAAGGGTAAAAGTTCTGTAGATAGACCCAAAACAGGATGCAACCAATTCAAGGAACCTGGGAGTTTCTGTAGTTCATTTAAAGTTAGGGTGTCTTTAACACAAAATCGTAAAGGCTTAGGACTGATAGTCTGTTGAGTAATTTTCCACCCCAGATGATACCACGGGGACTCACGTTGCAGCTTTTCAAGTGCCACAATGAGTCCTGCATTTTGAATTGCCTGCATGACAGCTACCTGGATAAAACATAAGATGGATTGATTGTGAGCTGCAAGTAAAATCTCATCCATATAATATATATGGTTGCAGCAGGAAATTTACAATGGACAGGCTGTAGGGCAAGATTGACTACCGTTTGGCATGTAGTTGTACTGTTACATGTGCTTTGTGGCAACGTGGTCCAGTGAAATCTCTTGTTTCTGCATGATTCAAGGTAGGGACAGAGCAGGCAAACCAAGGTGCATCATCAGGGTGTAAAGGGATGGTGAAAAAACAGTCTTTTAGGTCTAAAATTAATGTGGGCCAATTGAGGGGAATCATTGTGGGTGATGGAAGCCCAGGCTGCAGAGCCCCTATAGGTTCAATAACTGCATTTACTGCCTGTAGATCCTCCAATAATGGCTGCTTGCCATTTTACTTAGGTATACAGAATTTAGGGGCATTCCAGGAGCTGGAAGATGGGCAGATATTGCTTAAGGACAATTGCTCTTCCACAACCTGTTTTAAATTTAGTAGTCATTCCTTTTGCAGGGGCCATTGGTTGATCCACACAGGGTCTTCAGTCCGCCATGTGAGTTTACATATGTCCAGTATTTGATTTTGGAATGGTTGATCAATGGCCCCTATGAAAAGAGGTTCTCCAGTGAGGTTGAGTCTATTTGTATGATTGTTCCAAATTGTCCCAGAACATCTCTTTCCCCTAGTGTGGTTGGTATAGAGGTAATGAATGGGGCAATCCAGGCAGTTTGCCTATCAGAGCCAAGGACAAGTTGAAGGTGAGCACTTGGTCTAGGGCGCTGCATTCCTCCTACCCCAATTAGGGTCAATTTGGGGCTGATTGTGGGCCAATTGCTAAGCCATTCATTGCTTTTAATAGAGACATCAGCTCCAGTATCAACAAACCCTTTAAAATTTTTGCCATCTATAATGCAAATCAAGGTTAGCTGAGCTGTTGTAATAGAGCTTGTCCAGAAAACCTGTGGCTGACCTGTGCTACCAAAGTTATTTGTGCCATGTTTATCCTTGCCACTAGGGGTTTTGTTGGAAAGGGGAATAAGTTGTGCTGTTTATTGACCTGCAGGTATAAAGAAGGGTGGCACAGGAGTCCATAGCATAATTTGTATTTCTCCTTCATAATCCAAATCAATAACTCCACATAGTACAAAAAGTCCCAATTTAGTGGCAGAGGCTATTAGCAGAGCATGGATGTTATTACCAAGGGCTCCCCACACTCCAGTAGGAACTAAGTGCACTGAAGATATCATAAGAGTTACTAATTTTCTGGAGGCAAGGTCCAGCCCTACACTTCCTGTGGTTGCAGGCAGGAGCTTACTTGTCAAATGTTTTGCCTTGCATTTTTTTAATTTTCTGGGGTGTGCAGACCCACCTCCTGCCAGAAGCTTTCTGTGTGTGTAGCTTTCCCTTTTACAGGGTACTGGGAGTGGCATTCAGCAGCCTAATGCTTCCCTCTTACACACTGAAGACAATGCCTAGGTGGTATTTTTTCCCCATCCCTTTGTTGAGGGCAATCCTTTTTAAAATGACCCATTGAACTGCATTTAAAACAACCCCCCGCCAACGTGTCCAAAATCTGGAAGCGTGTGGCTAAAGCTGCTGCTTGAGAGTTAGTATTATAAGCAGTAGTTCCCACATTTTGGCATGTTCTAACCATATCTGCTATGTTACAAGTATGCGAGTTGCAAGCAGCGAGCAATGCCTTTCTTAGGCATACCTTCATGAACAAAGAATAGCTTTATTCACATTTGTGAAAACAAGCTGCCGCAACAGAATAACTCCGGCTTCATTATTATCAGCTTGCCAGGAGAGCGTAGCTTGTAGTCTGTCTGGGAGCTACACAAATGACTCCTCCAGACCTGTAAAATCTTAACAAATGACATGTTGGAATTGATACCTGTCCCAGGGAGTCACCGCAGTGCTTGCAAAGCTAGGTGCATGATGATATCATACACATCACACGGGTAGCCTGCCTGTGCTGTAGGGACTGCGAAAGCACCCTCCCTGGTCAGCTGCAATGACAATTGGTGGATTTCTGTCTCACAGCGTTTCCGCCTGTGTTGTACACAGCTCTCAGCAATTGGTTAGCCAGACTGCAAACTGCACCGCTGTTGGAATCATTTTCATTATGCTTTTCTAGTCATTAGGTATGAGGACAAGCACAGTCCTGATAGACTGTAGGTCATGATGGGAAGATATGCCACTTTCTTTTACTAGTGTCCTCAGTTCTCTAATTATAGTCTAGCTCTTGGTATGCCAGTGTTCTTTCAACACATATATTACTGGGCAGGCTATAACAACCGCCAAGTCACCCTCCTTCATGGTGGCTTCCCTGCATTTCTGCCAATGCTGGACTACTGCGTCACCATTTTGGGCAGGGAGAGAGCCTGCACCCATGTGTGGCACCAGAACTCCACACTGAGGGGATCAGCTACACAAGGATTTCCATCAGGGTAAGGCAATTCCATGGGGCTTGGGTTAATCTCGGGGTAAGGCAATTCTGCAGAGTGTGGGTTAACCTCAGGGTTGTGTATGGGATCTGGTGGCACTAAGGGTTTGTAGAAGTTAATTTCTGAAGCTGCATAATGGCTGCCATTCACACAATTTACTTTAATGGCCACCGTGATTGTCCCCCATGTGGCCAGGTGCCCAAAAGTGTCAGCACAGATGTCTTTGGTAGTATGAAAAAGTCTCTGCCCCACCACTTTCCAGTCTGATGAAAGGGGTCCATTGAAGGGAAAGTCTTTAACATGACTAGACACCCAGTCCAGCAGGATGCTCAGTTTTGCATCAGCCATATTAATAGATTGCTGATGTAGGAGCCGCCTTACCTAGCCCAAGCTCCTACTTTGTTCCAGGGATATTCCACCTCCAGTATTCTTTCCACGGATACAGCGCTGAGTCCTGATTGTGGGGGTCAATCAGCATGCGTGCCAGAATGGCCATGCCCTACCTCTTCCGCAGGCAAGCAGGATCACAGTTCGGCCACTGGCTGGGATCCAGACCACCAGAACAGCCGAGAAATGTGGACCCAACACCAAAGGATCAGGCCAAAGGAAAAAAGGAAGGACCCTGCTTGCTCCTTCGAGCTGCTTTATTTCTTTCCCATGCAGAAGCGGTGCCAGGGTGGCGCCGTATGGAATCAGCAGTGCAGCACAGGAGTTGTGCTTTCCCGTGGCAGGAGCAGCGTCGAAGTGTGGCAGGCGACACAACACTCGTGGGCAGTGGCAGAGGTGGGTGGCGGCAGCCATGGCAATGATCTCTCCCATGGCAGGAGCGGGGCAGCTGATGCCACACGGGTGTTCTTCTTTCTCGCAGCGGAGAGCGGTGCTGACTGCAAAGAACTGCCCCATGAGGGTGCCGGCAGAGCACAGGTGGAGCACGGAACCCACGTGGCTCAAAGAGGGTGCAGTGGGGAAACAGAGACAAACAATGTCTTTTATGGGGGAAGGGGGGGGAGGGTGGAATCGTGGGAGGGGACTGTCTGCCTAGATAGGAGGGGTCTGAGGGGACAAATGTAAACACAGCCTAGGGCGGGAAAGTCACAGACCAATGGCAGAAAGGAAAATTGTAACTGACAGCGAATTCTCTAGATAAAGGGCTGTAACAAGTCATGACAGACAATCTACAGAGGCAGGATTTTTGAAAATAAACAGAGAAAAATCTGGAATTATTATAACTGCCACAGCAAGACAGGGGCAAACAACCCCTGACAGAGATGAAACATACTCCTCAAACCCCCACTGCTATAGGCAGGGAGAGACCAAGTATCTTCAAACCCCCACTGCCACACGGGTATACTCACCTATGCTAGGTGAGGTGCATGCACTTTTGATTCTTGAATTCTTTCCCAAACTTTCCTGGATTCTCTTCACTGGATCCCTCCCAGACTCTTCCCAGCCGGCCCATCCCTTGACCCAATGGGACCTGCTACCAGAGCAATAACACACACCCTGTACCACTTTAAAGGTCCTGATTCAGGCCAGCTATTCTGTAGCAATGGGGAACAAAGTGACATTGACCCCCTTATGCATCCAAAGGAGATTGCTTTATGGTAGAAATCGCCCTTTTTTATACCTTTAATCTCCACCTGACATAACTGAAACCAAACCCAGGCGTAACAGAACTTAACAGAAAGAGGGCACCCATTGGCTGGCTCAGAGGCAGCGCTGCTGTCCGCACATCCTATCACCCAATCAGTTTCCTGTGCATACACTAACCATGTGTTCCTTCAGCCAATCAGCTTCCCACTCACACACTGTCCGTGTGTTCCTCCAGCCAATCACAACCTCACACTGAGCTGTCGCTCAGCTGACTCTCTCCTCACTCATAGCTGCCTCTCAGCCCTCAACCGACTCCCACCGGTCCGGCCTGCAGCTGTGCCTTTCCCACAGGGCCTTCTGGTGAGCATAACCTGAGCAACTTCAGCAGTTTAGCAGTTACAACCTCATATCCCACCAAAAACCTCATGTGCTTGTGTGAGCCTGGGCCACCCTTAGGGAATTACAGTTTTCTCCTGTTACAAGTCTCACTAGTGTCTGACCTTTAGTTGAAGAAGAAAAAGCCTTGGCTGGTATCTCTTGCCTTATTTTAGTACCTGAAGCATCAAGATGTGTTGTGTGTGTCCTGCTGGCTGAAGCACGGTTCCCCTGTATTTTGTTTGCCAGACACTTGTATTTGGAGCTTGACATTTTCACCTCTAGAGCCACATAGATTATGAAATAACTGCTATCTTGAACCAGAGGAGAGAGGCTGTGCTAGTTTGAAAACAAACCAATGGGAGATCTCAGGTCAGAGCTACAATTTAATAGGGAAGGTAAATAAAGGCAAGAAACACCGGCTTAACCTGACAGAGCCAGGATACAACCTGACACCCTGTTGGTCATGGTGGTGATAGTCCCGTTAAATGGTGACTGCAGTCCTTTGAGGTGATAGATGTGGTTCTGTTGAAGCAGTGGTGCTGTAGAAGGGTCTGGTCTTCCTCTGAAGGTCCAGTGGTGGTTATGTCAGCTCTTGTCCTCTGGGAATCCAGTAGGTAAAGATTCCTATTTGGCCTCTGCCAAGCACAAGCCTGACCCACCCCAGAAGCTCTGCAGTCACTGCTGTGTTTTCATGCTAAACTTATAAAGTCTGATTCCCTGGCAAGGCTGAGGCCTCAGCCAAGGTCTAGGCAAAACACAGCTCAAATCCTCTGGCAGCAGGTGAGCAAGCTGAAGTCTCAGCTTATCCAGGTGCAGAGTCAGGCTTAGCAAGAGCCCTGTGAGCATTAGACCTGACATCGCTCATGTAACTTCCTCAGTGTCAAACCTCCTCTGTGTTCCTGAATCCTCAGGCAATTCCCTGGGGTCCTTTCCCTCTTGGTCCCTGAAGGAAGACCTCCTCCTGGGGTAGCTTTATCTCCCTGCAAGGAAAAATTATTAAGGTACACAATCAGCATAATTAGAGTGAATTAAAGTAATTTGAAAAATGCCTTATAATTTAATCATCCAAAGGCTTGTAAGCAATGCAGGAAAATATGTTTTTAATTATAAACACAATTTATGTAAGTTGATAGACCCCCCTTTAAATTCAAACTCCTGAATGGGAGAAAATGAAGGCTTATTTGTTTGCGCTTTCAAGGCTGTATCCCAGTTGCCCGGTTTTAACTTGGACTTCAAGGAAAAACTTGCAGCCCTGTGAGCCTGGAGCCATTGAAGTTGCTCTTTGCCTTTCTTAATGTTCTTAGTTCTGCTGGAGTGTTTAAGCAGTCACTCAGTAGGGCCCATGCTGGGCAGACGTGCTTTTATTTCCTGTCGTCTCAGTGGTGTTCAGAAAGCAACAAGTTAATGCCCTTGAATTGAGCCAGGCCTCGTACAGACAGATACTGTTTGAGCTTCCTTAACTAATCCCTGCCAGCTCCTCTCTCTCAGAAGCTGCTGTTCTCCTGCCACTCCAGGCCTTGCCTCCCACACACCTCTGCTCAAGTACCTTGGTTCTGACTTGCAGCAGCTTCTGCCATTCCTGCTTTGTGCCTGCTGAGCAGTCCGGCTTGCTCAAGCTTTCCAGCATGTTCAAAGGAAATTTCCACGTTGACTTTTACCATGCTGAAAAGACAGGTTAAGTGCCATTAGTGTTTTGGGAGGTTTTTTTTCCCCTCTTCCTTAGCAGAGTAACGTTAACTCTAAAGCCTTCCTAAGCATTTCTGCTCTGGTTTTGTTTCCAGCATTCCAAGTCTTGTGGTCTGTGGCCTACAGGCAATGCCAGTGTGGCCTGATGAACCTCCCAAGCAGAAAAGATGATTTCATAGTTTGCACATGCGCTGCCCGAGCGATCTTGGAGCCAGGCATTGTTACACTTTGGAAAATCTGGTCCTCAGTCTTGCCAGAAGATGGTGAATTCCCTTGGAGATTCATAGAATGTTTTGACTGGAAGGGAACTTTATCATCACCTGTTGTGACACCTCACATAATCCTTTCATGTAGGGATAATACTGTCAAGCCTGTGACTTTGATTTGGACTTGGAGCTAGTCCTTCAGAAAGGACTTTGATCCAGCTGTGGTGCTGAGGGCTCCCTTCACTGGCTCCAGTGAAGGGCAAAGAAGCTTTTGCCTCCCCAGGTACATCATTCTCAGAGCATTGTGGTTTCACAGACAGGCTATGAATTGGGAGGCAGGATGGAACAGGGGAGGTGATGTGAACAAGGGGCTGTGGAGTATTTCTGATGCTATCACTTCAAAACAGAGTAAAATCTAAATTCCACTGCAAATCAGAGCTTTCACCTTATCTTCCTGACAGCAACAGCAGTCATCCATAGTGATTTGGATTGTTATAACAATGGTCGTCAAAAAATTCTTTGACCAGGGGTATGTGAGATCAGACACAATTATCTTCTCTCCCAAATAATTCTGCTCTACCTTCTTTGAGTATGCCACCTCTATTTCTAATCTGCAGTGAGTTCTAGAGCTCTGGGATAAAACCTGATTATTTTCAATAGAAGTGTGAGCAGAGGAAACCTCCTTGAGCACACACCAGCAGCTTTTGGCACTGCATCATAAAAAAAGCTGGAAGAGCTTCTTGCTGTCATTGGCATTGGGATGAACTCTGGCTTGTCCCCACTGGATTCCCTACAGGAATTGCAGCCCCAAACTGAACTTTACTGTTTTTCCTGAGCACTGCTGAAAGATGCACAGATTTTACTGCCTAGAAGTGAGGATGGGGCTGCAGGGATCAAGTTATTACAGGATTTGGGGACCATCCTTCCATCTCTGTAAACACAGATGAAGGGAAACTGAGTCATGCAGTCTTTGTTCTGATCAGTCAGCAGGATCTGATGTCAGTCAGAGAAGTGCCACCATTTTTGGTTTATTGCCATATTGGAAAAAATAAATCCATGAGAGGGAATGCCACAATCAGGACCATTTTTGCTATTGTTACTATTTCTCTTCCTTGATGGGGGTGCCTGGCACACATTCTTGTGTGTAGTGCCCCTAGACACTGACTTCAACAGAAGTTCTGATTATAACTGTGTTTCAGGGCAATTACCAGAAAATTGTTTCAGAAATTACCAGGAAAATGATGATTAGGTGGTATTTTTTTGAGGACCCTCCTGCAAAGTGAGGTGCTCTGGAGGAAAGGAGTTGTCAGCTCTGTGCTTAACCAGCAAAGCTCTGGAGTTTGTGGTTTTAGCTCTTGCTGAAGGCCATAAGTTCCTTTGTGTGGCTGTCTGGCTGAATGGGAGCTTGTGTTGCTTAAAAAGTGGGACACATTGCAGGAAATTACCTTTGTAGGCAGCCCTGAGTGCTAATCTGAACTAAATAGGATACAGCATGAGTCAGAAGAGCATGAGCCAGGCCTGGACACTTGGCTGGAACACAGGCAGGGAAGGACAAGGGAATCTGAGCCATGTGTGCCTCTGCTTTTCCCTCCTGCCCAGGGATTGTATGGCATGGCAGTTTTCATGCCAGTGAAGGCTTTTATTCTTGGTCTTTGACCCACAGTGGGATGAGCAGGAAATGGCAGCAGTTGGAAAGCAGTGATGGCAAAGCTCACTGGCAAGTCTTACATGTCAGCACCTGCCAGCAGCTCCCAGCCTGTTGGCAGTTTCCAGGAAAGAAGAAAATCCTGGTGAGGTTTGAACCCTGCTGTTCTAAACTGTATTAAACCGAAAAAGCCTTCACTGCAAGTACAAACATAGCATGGGATCAGCATCTTGATTTTGGGGTGGAGCGTGACTGCTGTATTCAGGTTATCTTTGGTTAAGGACACTCGTAGCTCTTGTAATTTCCTGTTATGTGGAAGTTAGGGAGTTCTGGGGGATTGCCAGATCTTTGGAATATGAAACTTACTTTCAGTTCCTGGGAAGAGGGAAGCTGCTGTTGATAGTCCGTGGTTGCACGGGCCAGGCACACACCTCTGTGCTGTGTGTGGAACACGAGGGGATCTGCTCAGGTGTAACGAGAGAGGTGCCACCTTTCCCTGGGGTCACTGGATGTGGCTTTCCTCATTTGGAGATTAAATTGCCTGATCTCCCCTCAGACTCCTTGTTCATTCCTGGGACCAAGCTCAAGGCATGCTGCACATCCCCCTCACCTGGGGAGCAGTACCTGGGCAGGGCCACCTCACTGCACTCTGTAATTACACAGTCACATAGGTTTTTCCACATTCGTTGCCAATAGTGGATGTGAAGAGGTCAATGGAGGTTACACAGAAAATTAAATCTTGACTTTTCCACAATTGCAAGTGACTTCTTCCCTACTGAGATGAGCCTCGTTAGGAAGGTTGGAATGCATTTGCAGACATTCACAAAGAGGCTGAATATACTTAGAAAAAAGTGTGTGCAGTAACTCTGGCTTTACAATAGGATGTTGTTTGGATTTTCCTCTTACACTCATCTTAGAGCAGTTTGTCTAAATAAGGCTTTCCAAAGCCCTGTAAGGTAGAATGTTATTATGTGTAACAGCTGAGGCATGGACTCAGACCAGCAAGGAATCAGAATCATTTATTCAAAGAAACAAGATGGTTTTATAGACTTCTTCAAGACACAGTATTTCCTTATACGGTAATTCTCACTAAGCAACCTATCAACCAACACCACGTCAGCAAAACACTTTCTTAAAATCCTTCTGTGGAGTGGCCATGGCTGTTCACCCATCTGTCAGCTTCTGGCAGCTCCTCTCTGCAGGGCTCTGCCACGTGGCACCTCCTGCCCCAGGGTCAGGCAGAGACAAGCCTCTCTGTGCTGCCATGTGCTTCTTTGTGCTCCAGTGTGCTCCTGCAGGTGCGTGCCATGGCCTGCAGCTCAACTCCATCCTGTCTCTGACCACAATTCCCTCTTTTTTGCTTTATACAAACAAGAATCACTAAACGAAACACTCCCAACATTAGAACATTCCAACATTGGCCCACAACCCAAACCAAACAAGCTCCATTCCTCTTGTTCTCTCAGCTTCCCCACAAGCTGATGATAAAGCCAGAACAACCAAGGCTGGTTGAATCACTCTTGCAGGTACCCATCATGGACTGGAATCTGTGAAAACACAAGCATAACTTTGTCCCCAGGTTATCAATGGAAAGGGTCCTTCCCATTTTCTACTTTCAAGATTCTTAGTAAGTCTGAGTGAGCTTGTGATTCACAAAAATGTTGTTAGACTGCAGTTAGGTCATTCTGAATGTGATTGTAAAAATTAAGAACATGTGAGGCCTTTGTGGGGAATATAGCCCATCCCCACACTCCCTCTTTTTTGTTTTAACAACTATAACATGAACATGTTTCAACCCAGTAAAACAGTGCATCTAAAAAACAACAAGCACTACTGAGCAAAAATAAGCCAGATAATACCTTTAACTGCCTAACTACTTTACCATCACCCACAGTCTGACATCACTGGAGAGCCCTGTTGCTGTTGACCTCATTTCAGAGAGATAAGACACACTCTTTTAAGATGTGAAAAAATCTACCACTTTATTTTATATATCCCTTTATATAGTTTTATAAACCCTCCTATGTCTCTCCCCTATTGGTCAGTAATAAGCTGTTACTCCATAGTAATTGGTCAGTCTTGAACAAGGTGTCTACATCCAAGAAAGGGTTGTTTGTGAGATACTGTTTTATTCCTTTGCTGAGATGGTTGGGATTGTTGAAATGGGTGCAAGAAAACAGTCCTAATCTGTAGAATTATTTTGCAGGGAAACAAGTTGGTTTTTGCCGTTACAGGTTTCTGTTTTCATGAAGAGATGTTAGCTTTCTCACAGCTATGTTAGACCAAGGTAGGATTCAGCCTGCAAGACCTTATACAGGCCTGCTGTTTGCTACCACAGAGACCCATTCCACAGTGAGGACCTGGAAAACTTTTCCTGGACAAGGTTTCTACGTTTGCCTCAAAAGGGGGTCCAGCTTTTATGAGACCAAATCAGCAAGTCAAAATGAATTGATTACATTTCTAGTGCAGAAACACTTGGGTCTGATGGTATATTTCCCTAACCAGCCAGGGCCAGGGCTAGGCCAGGGCCCAAGCCTTGACTGGGAGGGTTTCCCCAAGATATGTACAAGCAAACCTTTATTAATGTAACCAAAAGAATGCATATAAGTAACATTAAATAATTATCTCACAACTAAAGGCCTTCCTAAAAACTCTGTGTATTAATGCTGTCTGGATCCAGAAATATACTACCATCACCCAGTTAACCTTTAATCTAATTAACAGTCACGTTAAAACCTACAGCTTAGTGAAAATATAAAGTTAGTTTTTAACAAGAGCAAAAAAATACTTAAAAATACAGGAGCATCCATAACAAAAAGCAATTGGAACAATCCAAGGGGTCACAAGGTGGTGTGGTAAAAAAGCAGTCTTTGAGATAGGCTCCAGGATTGTGGCAACATTCTGAGAAACAAAACCAGGACAGTTTCACAGACCAGCAGCAGGAACTTTATCCCAAGCTTGCAGCCACCCCTGCAGAAGGTGGCGGCCCAGTCCCCCTGGGCACCCCCTGCCTTGTGCAGGGAGCAGGGACGTGGCACTGCACCTGCCAGTGCCACCAGGCTCCTTGGGTCCCCTTCTTACTGCCCACATACAGAGAGCTGCTCCCGTCCCACCGGCTCTGCTCTGTCACCAGCGCAGCGTTTGCTGCCATCCCCTGGCTGTGCCATGTGCCCGCCAGCATGGCAGAGCCCTGCCATGTGCCCGCCACCATGTGCTTGGCGCCTTGCGCTCACCACCGCCGCTACAGCGCCGTGCCCCTGCAGCTGCCCACGCCCTGCGGCTGCTGCTGCTGCTGCCACACTCTTGCAGAGGGCACACAGAGAGGGAACAGGTACCATGAATGGCCCACCTGGCTCCAGCTGCTCACCACAACATGGCTCCACCTGATGGCACAGGGCAGAGCAAGCACTTCTAGGATACCATCAGGGTCCCCTCCGGGATCAAATGGGTTGGGGAACCAGAAGCCATCTTCTGGTTCTCCTCCATCAGCCCCAACAGACTTACAGTCATTTGCGGGCAGTGCAGAAGGGGTCAGCAAGGCTCCTGCAGTGGCACAAGTGCCCTTCATTGTCCATGCACCATGAGTGCCTTGCACACTGTTCACCACGGACGCGAAAGCTTTGTCAGTGCTGCATTGACTTGCATAACTCTGTCCCACAATGCATGCCCAAAAGTGTCCTGTGTCTGAGGATCAAAAATATTGGTGTCATCTAAAGTTGAATCCTAGTCTTTTGCCCAGAAGAAGAATCCATCCAAATCTGGATTCAACTTTCCTGACATGCTTTTTAAAAATCTCTTCTAACGTCTCTGCAATGTTCTGTTCATCCTCCATTGTTCTCAGCTGCTACCTTCAGTCTTGCAGAAAAGTTGATTGGCACCACGAGCTTCATTTCAGCTCCCAGGCTTCATTTCAGCCACCTGTAAAGTTCAGCTGAGCATTGCTACTGGTGCAACCACTTGTTGCCTATCAAGTCCCCATTTGGGATGCCATTTTTAACAACTGAGGCACGGACTCAGACCAGCAAGGAATCAGAATCATTTATTCAAAGAAACAAGATGGGTTTATAGACTTCTTCAAGACACAGTATTTCCTTATACGGTAATTCTCACTAAGCAACCTGAGAGACCTTTGCTGTTCCAGTAAACACAATCTCACTGGAACATCACAGTTGGAAGTGTTGTACCAGGCTGGGCTGTGCAGTGCATCTCTGTTCAGAGCTGTGTCCTGATGAAGTGTAGGAGGAAAAAGTTCTGAGATCACTGGGAAGTTTATCCAGTAACTTCCTTCCTACTGTTATCTGACAAAGTTTTCTAAAAATCCTTTGTACCTCCCTGTACTCTGCTGACAGCAAGTGGGATCCTTAAAGGCTGCTCTGAAATTCCTGCTTACAGCCATAAATACAGTTACAACTTGTTGATTCCTTCCCTCTCTGTGCCACAAAGGGACCAGCTGCCATGTCTGGTGTGAGGTGCAATTTTGGCATCTTGGAAAAGAAATTGAAGCTGGAAGTGTTGCTCTGAGAAGCTCTTCAGAGGATGGAGGTGGAGAGGACCATAATTCAGTGTGCAGCAGAGGAGTGTCAGGAAGGATATGACTGCAGCGAGGGTGAGCTTCTGGACATGCAGGAGCAGAGCTGAGGGAGCAGAGCATTTTCACTGCAGAACACAAGGGCTGCCTTTACAGGATGTGCTGAAGGGGATGTGCCCCAGTCCCGAATTGGGGAGTGAGAAGAGAAACCCCAGTTATTTCAGAGGGGTGCAGGGCAGGAGAGGGGGAGTCACAGGAGGAGGACAGTGCAACCTGAGTTCATCTGTTCCTTATCAGATGTCACCACCTTCTGTTCTGGCCTGACCCAGCAGAGCCCAGGGCCATGGGCCCTCTGACAGGCCTGGAACTCAGTGGTGCATCAAGGGATGTCTACAAAAACATTCCTGGCTGTAGTGGATTCTTCAGGAGGCTCTCCCTGGGAATTTGGTCCTGCTGGAGGGAAGGAGAAGAGGGACATTGGTCTGTGATTTCTGTGAAAATGACAGTGAGAAAACGACCATCAGGGAATGACAGAGGTTGTGGCTGCTCCATCCCTGAAAGTGTAAAAGAACAGGTTGGATGGGGCTCAGAGCAACCTGGTCTGGTGGAAGATGTCCCTGTCCGTGGTAGAGCATGGGATAGGACCTTTGGGGACCTTTCCAACATAAACTATTCTGTGATTCTGTGACAGCAAAAGTTTCTTCTGGTGGCCTACATGGAAATACTGATGGCATTGTGATACCTGGCAATGCAGTCCTTAGCAATGTATGGACAAGGACGAGGAAGGGCCCCATCAAGCACTGTCAAAAAAGCACAGGAAAAATTAGCGCAAAATGATCCCCTATAACCCCTAAAACACAAAGGTGGGGGACAGTACCATAGATTGCTTGCTACTGGTGTCCAATTCTGGTGTCCACTCTGAGAAGGTGAACTGCTCCCTTTGGAGTTGGAGGTGTTTCTTAGGGCAGTGGAGTCCGGAAGAGCTAGAGGGTTCAGTAAGTCAATCCCTTTATTAGGTGTAACAGCTTCCACAACTCCTCCTCTCTCCACCCAAAATCAAACTGAAATGCACTAATGAAATTTAAACCTCCTTGAACAATGTTCACTGCAAGTGGTCCTAATTAACGTTCCCTAAATGGCTGTAATTAGCTACCAGCTGATGGAATATTTACTCCAGGATTTTTTCTTTAAAAACACAACCCAATACAGACACAAACAACTATTTATTTAATTATTTATTTTACAAATTCCTACCACTAATCATGCTGAAAATGTGACTTACAGAGCAGAAGCTGAAATTGGAGTGGCTCTTGTACTGAAAGAAAAGCAGATTAAAGCACAGGAAAAGCAGCTTGCACAAGCAGGCAGCACTCCCAGAGCCATTTGCTGCAGCATCTTAACAAAGTACAATAAATTAGCAATTTCAAAATAACACAATTTCCCCCATCACCTTGCAGGAGCAGTTTTTCCGCGATGCTCTGCCGGCTCCTCTCCACGTCTCTTTTGCCAAACTAGTCGGCTCCAGTTCGGTCATAAATCGCTCGATGTCACGTAGTGAAGGGGAGAGGACAGAGCTCCCTCTGTGTTCCCAGCCCTGGCAAATCCTTTATCGAGCTCCAGGAACCTCCGCTCCCATTGCTAATCCGCGCCTGCCTCCCCTCGGACAGGCCTGGCCACTTCCTCTCCCAACAATCCTCTCCTGCTTGTTTGCTTTTAGGAAAGCTGATTCAGCCTTGGAGCGAGCGGGTGCAACACCCGCAGCGCTGTGGGTCCTGCTCCTGCTGCCTGCAATGAGCCGAACGAACTGCAGTGGAATTGCTTCATTCCAGCTGGAACAAGACCTATCTTTATTCATTTTGAGGCCTCTTTTCCCGACTGTGGTGGCAGTTTGGCCTTGGAAAGGCGAGAGTGTGTCTTGGGGGCTGCTGAGGCACCCGGCTTGTGTCTCACAGATGATATACCTGCTGGATCAGCCCTGAACCAGGGGCCCGGCCCATTCCAGGTGGTGTTCCCGGGGGGCAAGGATGGAGTGGGGATCAGCTGGGGGTGCTGAGGTGCCCTTGCACCCTTTACTCCGGGAGATGAGGGTGGTTTGGGGAGTGAGATTGCTCGTGGGTGTGTAAGATGGAGACTGGAGAGGAGGTGAAGAACTGGGGAGTGGGATGTCATACATGCACCCCCTCCCTGGGGCATCCTGGGACAGGGCGTAGGTCAACCTCTTCTACCCTGGTGGTGGCATGTCCCTAGGCCTGCCCTGCCCCACCCCCAGGCCCTGGCTGGATCTGACCCTCTCCTTGTGCCTATCATGCCCCAGCACCCTCTTTCCCCTGGCCCTTGCTGCCTCGCCATCTGTGATCACCCCCTGCCCCACCTTGCTGACCCTCAGCCCTGACCTCACCCCAAGGCTGGATCCAAGCCCTGCATTGTGCCTGCCCCCACATCCCTCCATGACCCCATAGTTCACCTTGACATTCTGTTGGCCCTCAGCCCTGTCTGACCACCTTCCATCCGTCCTGCGGCCCCCAGGCCTGCCCTGACCCTCAGGCCCTTCTGACCCCGCCTTGTGCCCAGCACCCCAGTCCCCCTGAGCCCACGAACTCTGAACCTCTGCTTCCTGCCCACATGTGTATTACTCCCCAGTGCTCCCCAGGCCTGTCCCCATCCCAAAGCTAGATCTGAACTGCCCTTGAGCCTGCTGCCCCTTCAGCCCCCCGAATCCCGTAACCCCATGGTCCCTCCTGAGCCCTTGCTGCTCCCCCAGACCTGTGTGACACCTGCCATGCCCCCTGCCCCCTCAGCCCTGCCCTGAGCCGCAGATCCAAATGAGGGCCAAGCCCCACCCCGGATCCCGTAGAACTCTGATCCCTGCTGCCCCCT